TGGAGGGCGCTCGCGTGTCCCCTGAGCCGGCAGGGCTGCCCCGGCGCTGACATGTGCCCCCGCCCCGCAGTGGTGTTCGGCGAGCACAGCTTCCTGGTCACCGTCTCTGGACAGAAGATCTTCGTGCTGAAGCGGCAGAACCACGGCCGGGACCCGGTGCCCGTCTGACCTGCGCCCGCGGCCTGGGCCCATGCACTTTGGGGCTGGGGGGCGGGGGAGGTCACTGGGGGTACTGGGAGTCATTGGTGGTAATGGGCCACAACTGTAATGACTACTAATTAAAGCATTGTCCCCGGATGCCTGGGCTCTGTGGCTCCTTCCCCCGTCCCAGGCTCCCAGCAGACCCTGTAGCGCTGCTCCCTGCACTTGCGCTGTGGGGCTGTGGTCCGGTCTCTTCCCAGCATGCACCAGATGTCCTGCCGGGACTGACCCTGGGACATCTCTTCCTCCGGGGGGGCTTGAGCTGCCCCCCTGCCCCCAATCCTCTGGGTGTAGCACAGAGTTAGGCCCAGGTTCCCTTGGGTCTCACTGCTGCAGCAGCGGGGCTAGGGCTCGGGCAGGGTCTGAAGCAGGGCAGGGAGACGCAACATAGCTCACTGGCCGGGTCTGGCTGCCGGGAGATTTTCTCTAGCTCGCAGTGAGTCTGTTGGCCTCACTTGGCCCAAACGCCCGTGGTGCTGGACAGGGCAGAGACCAGCTGCCCCCACTGGCTCCAGGTGCTGTGCACCTTTGTTCGGAACCGTCCTTGTAGGAAGGGATTCGGTGCTGACTCATCCTTGTGCCAATGCAGGGACAAACTGTCTGGCTGTTGCCCTTTTCGCCTGGGTACTTCCACTTGCTCACGAGCCCGTTACTGAATTTTCCCTTATTTTGTCATCTGCTCGTTCTCGGGTCCTGCTCAGTCCCCTAGCTGTCCCTCTGACTCCTCTTTGGGCCTCTGCTCAAAAGGGGGCTGGGTAGAACAGCACTTATGGTGCAGGGCTTCTGCATTGGCAGCTCTCAGCAGCACCTGTTTGCCCCCAGGGCCAGCAGAAAAAGGCTGCGGCAGTGATATGGGTACCAGAGTCCTGCCCGTGAGAGAGGAGTGAGGTGCACCTGCAGGGCTGGGGTGGGCAGGGGCTGTGGGTTTGGAGTGAGGGGCTCCCTTGCCTGCGCTGGGGGTCTGGTGACTCCTGCTCGGGCCCTGCACAGCCATTGGCGGGGACCTGGGGCATCTGGGTGCTCCATGGGATGAGTGGGGCCAGGGTGGCTTGTGCAGGAAACTGAGCTGGGGGGGAAAAGGTTAGTGGCCAGAATGGGGGGAGGGTGGCCTGGATGCCTGGGTTCTTTGTGGGGGGGGGGGAGAGGAAAGCAGAGCAGGGGGTGATGACATTCTCCTCTTGGGGGAAGGGAGCACCAATAACATCCTCTAGCCTGCCCCAGTCCAGGTGCAGCCCAGTCCCGGGAGAGGACCCTGCTATGGTCTGGGAGGTGGCAAGATGGAGGAAGGGGAACAGAGCAGGGCATGGGACATGGGGACAGAAGCCCAAATGCCTGGGTTCTCTCTTTTCTGGGGGGGGACTGCAGCACCCCGATCTCTCCCACGTAGCAGGAGGTACCTGGGCAGCACAGGCTGGAGTTGCCTGTGCAGGACGGGGCCAGGGAGATGCTGCAGGGGGACACCTAGTGCCTGAATGGGACCAACATCCCTGGTGAGTTTGGAGTTTGGGGAGGAAGGCGGATGGGGACTGGGGGCCTGGATGCCTGGGTTCTCGCCTGTCTCTGGTGGGTGAGCGCAGGGGGGCTGGGAGCCCGGATGTCTTAGTTCTCTGGCCAGGTCTGTGTAGGGAGCGCTCATCCTGCGTCTTTCTCTTGCAGAGACCAGAGCCGATCCCAAGAATGGGGAAGCTGAGGCTTCAGCACAGAAGAAACATTTTCATGTATTCATTGGTAAGCCTGGGGTTGGGGACTGGGCTGGGCCAATGCTGTTGCTGGGACCAACCCCACAGGGTCCTGGCTGGAGGGTCTTGCCCCTCTGCTCAGGGTCAGGGATTTGCCCCCTGCTTAGCCTGGCCCAGCCTGGGGGGTTCCCCTCCTGCAGTGGGGGCATGGCCTGGGCTCTCTGCAGCAGGACATGGTGTCTGTGGTCCCCCTGCTGTCCCTGGGACAGGGGCAAGGCCTGGGGGTGCCGGCCACTATAGGAAGGGGCTGGAGGGTGGGAGTGTCTGGGCTGCACGGGGCTGATCTTGCTGCCTCAGGCAGGGGTTGGGCTGGACGTACCCCTGGGGTCTGTTCCAGCCCGTGGCTTGAGGATTTGGGGTGAGGAGCCCAGGTGTCTGGGAGAGGGGGTGCTTCTGTTGCACCTGCTGCTTCTTCTGACACCTGCTTCCTTTCCCAAGTTTGCATCGCAGTGCTGGTTTACTGGTGCCATCTCCGGTAGTACGCCTGCGTGAGACACTGCAGCAGAATGACACCCTGGTGTCTTCCTCCGGTCCCCGTAAGCAATGGGGGGGTCTGGGGTCTCTGCCTCATGGGAGCTGCTCTAGTATTTTTCTGGGTCAAAAAGAAGTGGAAAGGAAGAGGTGGTGTTTCCCAAGGGGCCTTGAGCCTGCGGCTGAGCACCACTGTGATGGGTCTAGGTGTAGGAGCAGCTAGAAGAAGCCAGAGGCTGCTCTGGGCTTTGCTTGCTCCTCTCTTTTACCGATCTGCCCTGGTTCCATGTGCCTGGGGCATTGCTAGGGAAAAATAACTTGCCAGAAATATTGCGGGGCTTAGGGACTGTCTGGCAACAATGTGGGCAGCTGCCTGTCTCACTCCATCAATGCTGACTGGCACGGCCTGATCCAAACCCCGTGCACAGAGCAGTCATCAGCACAGTGCTGCCTGTTCCTTGGGGCTGCCCCTGTGGGAGGTGGTAGGGAGCACTGAGGGCACTGGCATCTGGCCCTGCTAGTGCTGACCCCATCACTCCCACAGGCTTCCAATCCTACTGGCATTTCTACACGGGAGGGTGTCGGACCCTGGCCTGATGTGTGCAACTTAACCCACAGCAGTGATGTGGACAACCAGCAAATCCTCCACTACGACAGCGAGACGCAGACACGGGAGCTACCTGGGGACTAGGTGCAGGGGACTGTTGGCCCAGACTTCTGGGATGACGAAAGCAGGGCCTTGCGGGACTGGCAGGGGGGATTTCGAACGAACCTGGCCACACTGCGGCAGCACTACAAGCAGACCAGGGGTGAGTGTGAGCAGGAGGCCATGGGGGACCCTGGCTCTGAGGGTGACTGACAAGGGTGTGTGGGAGGCACCTGCCCATCAGCAGCACAGGGTGGGGAGCCGGGAGGGCATCACATTGTCTTGTGTCTGATCTGTGTGTCCCTGCAGTCAGCTCCTCCCTGCCATTGTTTTGGCAGGGGTCCTGGGATATGGGCCAGGAGGGTGGTGAAGGGGCTGCTGGTCCCTAGCAAAGCTGGTTTGGGCACTGGGCCTCACAGCAAGGCCGGAAGGAACAAGGTGATGGGAGGGGGTGTTGCCGGATGCAGAGAAAGGGACAAAAGGAGAAAGTGGGGGTGGGGAGGGAGGGAGGCAGAGAACAAAGTGAAAGTTGATCTCAGGGAGAAGGACCAGATGGACGCCTGGGCATGTGAGGGCCGTAGCGGGCAGTGACTGTGGGGTCTCAGACATCCATGCAGGGGGAGTTGTGGGGTGCAGGGACCAGGCCCCATCACCCCTGTGTGCAGGCAGGGGCTGGGCTGTACAGGGACCAGCCCTGGGGGTACCTCTGGGGCCGCAGAGTCGGATCGCTGCTCTGGGCAGCTGCAGCAGCCAGCGCTCAGGCTCTGCTCCTGGGTCTTGCTGCCACAGAGGGGAGTTCTCAGCGCCTCGCTGCTGCTGTACGGAGAAGCAACATTTGGCTTTCCAGCCTGGACTCGGCCAGGCCGGTCTCACCTGCCCCTTCCCCAGACCTGGGCTCCCGTATTCCCAGGGTGCATGGGGGCCATAGTTGTGTCCCCTCAGGGCTGGGCCCCTCCAGCCCCTGAGAGGGGTTCTGGGCTTTACAGGCCGGTGCCCCCCTCCACATAGCCCAAAAGCTCCCTCGGATGCTTTCAGGCATCGGGGCAGCTATTTTGTCTCAAAGCAAAACTTGCCCACAAATATAGGTGGAGCAGACCCAGCTCCCCGTGGGTTTTTTGAGTGGTTCTGAAGTGGAAAAGTTTGGGATTTGCTGATTCTTCTGGGAGGGGAGGTGGTATGAAGCAAAAAGGGAAATCGGTGAGCATTCATCTTGTAAGCAGGGAGCTCCCAGAACATGGAGAACAGAAAAAGCAATTGAACATCCCCAGGGAGTGCTCAACTTTTTACCCCATTGGGATTTGAAACTCCAGTTCTCCTATGCTTTGTGTGCGATTTGAAAAGGGAGAAGTCTATATCTCATTGAACCATTCAAAGCAACTAAAACTAAAAGCTGCTTGCAACTCTGCATTATTTTGCCTCTTGTGCTTGTCCTGCCAAGAGAACATAAAATCCAAGGGTATTTTAGGTCCCTTTCACACACGCCTTAAGTCCAGGTTTCACTGTTGTCGGGTACTAATAATGTACCTTTTTCTTTAGCTTTGCAGAATGGCAAAGAGACTGTTGAGTTTGGACTTTTTCTGTTCAAAGGAGGCTGAGACTCCAGCCCCGAGCACAGGCAGTGCAGTTACAGTGAGAGTGACCCTCTAGATTAGGTTGCCACATTATGCACAAGCACTCGTAGAGATGTTAGTATAGCTTCCAGCAGCAGAGGCCCTTGTTTTGGGCCAGATGCAGCTTCGTAATATATTGAGGAAGGGCCGTATCAGCCCATAATTGCATTCCAGGCACCCTGTCTGGCAATAAAATAAGAAAATTCAGAAAAGAATGGTACAGTGATCACAAATGGCTTGCATACAGTGTCCATCAGGATACAGCTTTCTGTTTCTGTGGCTGAGCATTTGGCAGTTCCCAAATGGGTGACCAAGCATCACAACTTGACAGAGGGAAAAAAACAGTGGATGAAAACTGAGCACACTTACAAAGTGCATCACAGACTGTGTTTTGTGCTCGCCGAGGCATACCTGTTGAGGGAGCTGATTCCACAAATCATGGAAACTTGTGGGAATTGATGAAACTGCATAGTGAAGACAACAAAGTGATTCAGCGGTTTATGATTAACCGAGACAAGTTCTTCACCTACCTACACAGCTCCTGTCAAAATGAAATACTTGAAATTATGGCTTCAAGTCCCAGAATTCAATAGTAAGAGAAGCAAAGGAAGCTGGAGTGTTTTGCAATCATTGCAGATGAACCAATGGATCTCTCTAGGCATGAAAAAGTCATTCTCACACTGCGATATATAAACCAGTCCTTTTGAAGTATAAGAATGATTTATTGGCTTCTATAGGATGCTGCAGATGGTGCTTCACTTGCCACGCTGATCAAGGCTGCTTTGTTAGAATAAATAGTCTTGGAAAGAAGCCAATGAGATACTGCTTCTTTTTCTGGCGGACCAGTAACTCTTAAACCACTCAGTGACACGTGATGGAACTGTCAAGTTAAGGCTATCCAAGCTCTTTTAGAAAATTTTGATGAAGTAGTTGAAGCGCTGGATGAAATCAAACATGGGGGTTCAAAAGCTAGAGTTAAAACTTGTGCACTTTGCCTGCAAGACTTCAACTTCCTGTAGTGTATGCTACTTATGAGGAGAGTGCTTATGCAAACCAGTCACCTACCCAAACCTTTTCAATCAAAAGTCTTTACATTTCGTAGAGCAACAGTGATGGCTAAATCCACAGTGTCTGTACTTCAAAGACTGAGAAGTGAGGAGTTTGTGTCCCAAGTATTCAACAACCCTTATGAACCTTGCCAGAAAAATGGGCATCCTGGACCTTGTGTCCCTCCACAAAAGGGTTGTTCCCCGAACACTGGGAGAAGGGGAAATGTCCTTCTTTGAGAAACCAGAGGACTGTTACAGGACAGAAATACTATACAGAGCTTTGGACACCCTTATTAGTGACATGGAAGATGGCTTTGCTGGGAATGACCTAAACGTTTTCAAATCCCTGGAAGATGTTCTCTTTTTTTGAGACCCTGTCAGAGGAAAGCATAGGCACCATTTTCAAAACTTACAAGATTGCTCAAGAGGATTTGCAGCCTGAGATCAACATGTCTTCCAAACTGTTTGAAATGCATGGCAGCACTGGTACGAGTAGCAAAGTGGAGTGCCCCCCGGCTTGAAAGAAGAATGAAGTTATTTACTGAAATGTCACTGCTTGATACCCTTCCAAATCTGGGAAACCTCTTTGCACTTTACCTAACTATTCAGTTACTACAGCATTAGCAGAGAGAAGCTTTTCGTCACTGTGGCAGCTGAAAAAGTACCTGAGGGCTACGATGACAGATGCTCATGTTTCTAACCTGGAAATACTACAGATTTAAAAAATAAACTATCAACGTACCTGAAATCATTGCACAGTTTGCCAGCAGAAAGGACCAACGTCTACAATTCTTTTAACAAGGTAAGTAACAGGGGGCTGACTTGTTAAGTATGGGAAGTGTAAGGTGGGGGGGCAGGATCTGTGACGGGAATGCTAGGTGCCCTGCCAATTTAAGACGCAGCAGGAAGTTGCATGGCAGCCTGTACATGCTTGGCTGCTCATCAGGTCAGTGGAACCAGCCAGTCAAAGAAAGGAGGTCTCAACAGAGCTTCCCAGGGCACAAAGCTAAGTACACACTCTTTATTCAGTTTGGTTTGAATTTGATTTGTGAGTGTGACTACAAGCATAGCCAGGATCCTGTGGTCCAGCTGCCTGGAGGGCCAGGGTTCCTGTTAGTGGACCCATGGCCCTTCCCTAGGAGCAACAGCCAAGTGGTCATGGAAAGCCAGGGGAACATTTCTGTTCCTCTGACCCGACGCACAAATCTTTGCCCTGTGCAGACAGGTTGACTTATGTGAATGCTTTGAGATGGTGCTGTTACTCAGTTTATTGTCACAGAAGTATAGGAGTGGATATGGGGCTTTTGGCCTGCCCACAAATTGTGCCCCCCAGACTCGGGAGGCACCAGTTGCCTGCAAGTGCTCTACAGAGCAGTGCATGATGAGTGCAAAGCCCCCTCCTCTCTCTCCCCCTACCCAGTGCTGTGTGGCTCTGCACAGAGCAGGCCTTTGGGCAGATGGCCTCATCCAGCTCCACGCTGCCTCCCCGTAGCTGTTGGGTGGTGCCAGGGAGTCTGGGCAGAGCCCTGGGTCTCAGTCCTGTCTGGGGAGTCACAAGGGCACCCATCACCCTGGCATATGCATGTTCTTGCCAGCAGGGGCTGTTGTGTAGCACCGGGAGCATTGGGCTAGGGGCGAACTGGTCCCTGCACTCGGAGCTCTAATCCCCTCTTCCGTCTTTGTCAGCCCGCAAAGCCTCAGTGAGCCAAGCCCCAGAGCATGAAGCCCTGGTGAGTTAAGCCTTGGAGAACAAAACCTTGGAGACTGAAGCCTTGCAGAACTCTGGTGAGCATCAGCATGATGGCTTGAGCCAGGGGAGGATGGCTGGGGCCTGGGGCGGTGGGTAAAGGGGGTGCTGTGGGCTGGCCCCAGGAAGCTGCCTCGGGGCAGGGCAGTCTTCCTGTGGGTCTCTCAGTGCCCTTGGATTTGAGGGTTGAAGAACCAGGCTAGGGAGGGACCGTTGTCATGCTGGCACTGTCTATACCCTCCATGCCCAGGTGCCAGCACCGGCCTGGCCAGGAGCTTGGTGGCTCCTGTGGGTGGGAGGCTGCTGTTAGCATGTGGATCCCTGGCCTGTAGGGGCTACCTCACCCCTGTCCCATCTCCCATGGGTTGGGATAGGGCTATTTCCTGGGCTGGGGTCAGGTCTTGCCCTGCCTCCTGTGCAGATGGCAGCTCTGGCTGCATGTGGGGCCACGGGGCTCCTGGCAAGGCCACCCCCTCGGTGCGAGCCCTGGGGCGCAGGGGCAAGGGGTCTGCCCAGGGGTGTAGATCCCTGGTCAGCACCTGGCAGCCAGCACCTGGTCCCTGTGGCTGCAGGGCAGGGTCAGTGCAAAAAGCTTCTGACCTCACTGCCAACAGCTCCTATCTCCCTGGCTCTCCTGTGCCCTGGGGCACCGAGGGGGCTGAGTGCCAGGAGAGCTGCATGGCTCGGTCTGTGCCAGCCCCTCTGCTCTTGGGAGAGAGGGGCGGAGCAGGGGTGTCTGTCACTGCCCCCCCTCCCCTCACCCAGGCAGTCTGGGCTCTGGGCCTGCATGTCCCGGGAAGGGGCTGCAGCCTGGGTGCTGCCAGGAGCAGAGCTGGCGCAGCGCAGGGCACCTGGCAGCGGGAGGCGTGTTGAAAAGGGGCATCTCCTCCCCTCGGTGCAGGGAGTGACCCCGGGTGGAGCCAAGCACCAAGTCAGTGCGTGCCCAGTGCTGCTATCCCTCTGGCTGTTACATCTGTGTCTCGTTCCTACAGTTTAACGGATCCCAATGGAGCCTGTGCAGCCTTTGGAGGGGCCACAGAGCAAAAGGAACGCGCTACAGCCCATTCGCACCTTCACTTCAGCCCTGATTTAGCCTGAGTGCGCACTTATTTTACCCTTCCAGGTGCCTTGATTTTTATCACTTTGATTTTACCGGAACAGTTGCGGGGAAGGAGGTGGGATTTGGGTGCTGCTTGTTGCAGGTTTGGGCCTGAGTTTTTCTTTCTTCTTTTAATAAAAACAAAACAGGTAGAGGTGAGATGCCCTCGGTGATGATTCTTACCAGGCAGACGGGCTGTGCCTGGGTCATGCTCAAGGGCAGCAGCACTCAACTTTTTGGCCAGCTGAGCGGTTGGGGCCATCTGCAGCCGTACTGGGCTCTGGGGCCTGGCCCCAGCCCTGCCTGCCCTGCACATGCTGGGGCCAAGTCCGGGGGGGCTGTGCACCTGTCCTGCCCCCCTGCGTGCCAGGGTTCAGATGCTGCTTCCCTACTGGCACTCCATGGGTTGTAGGAAGCGTCATGGGCTGGATGCCCTGGCACTGCGGGCCAAAGGTCACTCTCCCTGCCCTGGAGCATCTCGGTGTCGAATTTTTGCAGGGCTGTTCAGCGTGTGCTGTTGCTTTGTGCTGCTCCAGCTTGCTCAGTGCACAGCGCCTGCTCCCTGCAACCTGGGGGGACCCCAGGATGGCCATGGGCACAGGACATACAAAAGCCTGACATAAAGCAGCTTGTGATCTAGCTGGGTGCCTGGACAGCCCCATTCAGGGGCACTGGCAGAGGAGGCTAAATGCTCTGATCTTTGGCCGTGGATGCTGCTTCGGACAACGCACACCTTTTTTCCCTTTTTCTTCCTTCTCTCTTTTTTTGAGGTTGGGGAGGTGGGGCTAAGTGAGGAGAGCTTAAGAGTGCAAGACCTTTTTTTATATCATTAAAATGAAGTGTACGTTTTGTGTTTGTATGCTTGCTTACAACTCGAGCATGGCTAATGTATTGACTAAACCTTCCAAAATCCCTGAATAACACCTGAAGAAAATCATAGGCAGGTTATTTTTCACTTGACCCTTTTTGGGGCTTTGATTCACTGGGATTACTTGGCTTCTGAGATGGCAAACTGGTACTCCTCCATTCTGGATGCAGTGAATTCAGTTCAATTGTCATCATTATATACATGCTCACCTTTTTTTTTTTCTCTCTACATTGAAAGAACAGTGCTCAACATATTATAATTTAAAGGTAAAAAATATTTTTTACCTAAGTGTTGTACTGAGTTCTTTGAAAATAAATACACACTGTACTTACAGAAATAATGACCCAGCGAAGAACGGCTATTTCAGCTAGTTGGAGAATAAATGTGCACCGAGGGTTAGGCTCAGACATGTGCACTATTGGGTTTCTCTCTCCCTGGCCACTGGGTGGAGGTCTCTGGGGCTGGGCAGGGCCTGCAGCAGGGTGGGGTTAGGGTGCTGGAGTCCCCTGCTCTCTGCCATCCCTGTCCCTCTGGCGAGGCCTGTTCTGAGTCTGCCGTTGACTGTGGCCCTCCTGCAGCCTGTGCCCAGACACGGAACTTGCCTTGGGTCAGGGAGTACCAGGATGGTGCCTGGCTGCAGGCAGCAGGTCTGTGCAAGGACATGACCCTCCTGCCAGCCAGCCCTGAGCAGCCCCTGTGTTGGGACCAGAGAGCCAGGCTCAGAGAACAACTCCATGTCCTGGCACGAAACCCCTGGCACAGCCCAGCCCTGGCTCCCAGACACCTGCTGCCCCTCCCCTGGGCAGTCCCCATATGCAGGTAACTACAGGGCTTGCAGTAGTGGGAACAGACCAGTCCCCCACCAGTCCTCCCTGCTCCTGGCTGCCTCTTCTCCCAGCACCTTCTCCCCCCTCCCCGGACAGATTCCCACTCTGCCAGGCTACAGCCCTGCTGTGCTGCAGGAGCCTACTTCCTTGGGTGTGGGGTCTCTTCCAAGCTGCCCCTGCCCCAGGGAGTGGTAGGGCCTACACACTATGAGCTTGGCCTTGACCCTATCACTGCCCTCCAGCACTGAGCTGTAGCCAGCCTCTGCACCATTGCCATGGGGTGGGCAATCACTAGCACCATGTAGCCCTGCTCAGCATTGCCATGGGGCTCGGGGGAGAGCAGACACTGCCAGGATGAGCCGGGGCTCCCACTCCTAGCCCGACAGCAACTCCCGCCCCTTGCCGTGGCTTCACTCTCCATGTCCAGCGTGTGCACTCACAGACCAGGAACTGCGTCCTGTAGGCACATACACCCCTGTTCTCCAGGTTCCCTGTCCTGCCTGCCTCTCTCACCGTGGCATAACCCACCCCTGGTCCCCAGATCCCAGGCATGTACTTTCTCTGGCTCCCTCATCCCAGCCTGAGCTGCCCCCATCTTGCCCTTCTTGGGCCAGTGCCATGGGCAGCTCACCTGTCAGAGGGGCAGGCAGGGCCCGCTCCAGGTTCCAGTGCTCTGAGGCAGCAGGTGTGGGCAAGGCCTGGCACAGTGCCACGCCACCGCTGCTGAAGCTGTGCAGTCTCCAGAGGCCACAGCCTCGCAGACACCTGCGCAGAGTCAGCCATGGAGTCCTGCATAGCCATGGCCTGGCCCGGCCGGGAAGGATGAATCCTACACGCTACCCTAGTGTTGCAGAAGGAAAGTCCTTGTTCTTGTTTCCTATCACTTCCCCACAGCAGCGGGTGCCCCTGGGCCTGGTGTCTGGGACATGGGGAGCAACAGCCTCTGCTCCAGTGGTCCTCACCCTTCCTGGGGCTCAGAAACCCCAGAGCTGCGGGGTCACATCCAGCCCAAGCCCTGGCCCAGGCAGGATGAGCTCCATGTGAACCTGGCCAAGCAAAGCTGTCTGAGCTCCGAGCAGAGTGACCCTCTCCCCAACACTGCCTGGGCAGTGCCGCGACCCCGCCACAGGGAGCAGGGCCCGGGGCCAGGGGGTTGACCTACGCCCCAGCGACCCCTGGCTCAGTCAGGCCCCTCAGAAGGGATGCGGTGCAGACCCACTGGAGCTGCTGACGTGCCCCACTGCTTCCTGGCAGGGCCTGGCCGGGGGATGGGAAGTGCCTGGAGCACAGACACCCCAGTCCTCCGACCTGCCCCAGGTCCCGGTCCCCCTGCGCCCCCGGGGTCACTGCTGGTGCCCGGGACCCCCCAGTGGTGCCCGGCCTGTAGGGGCGGGGTCAGGGGTCGCTGCAGGCAGAGAATGGGACCAATGAAATGATGAGAAGTCCAGGCCATTCCCATGAGCCTCTGGGGCAGGAAGCTGCCCTGGCCCTGCTCCCATGATGTCCCCCCCTGCAACACAGAGCCAGGCCCAGACCGCTTCTCCGCTCTTTATTCCCAACAAATAAATAAATAGCGCAGGGGCCGGGGGGACAGATGTAAAGTGCGGTGGGAGAAAGGGGGGCAGGGATGGGAGCCCCCTCCCTTGGCAGTGGGGGTGGGGGTGGGCAGCTGCCCCAGGGGCTTCTGGGAAGGGGGTGGCAGCTTTGGCAGTAGCCAGGACCCCCCAATCCGGGGGGAGGGGGTGCGGGGCAGGGATTCCTCCCCCATCGGGGGGGGGCAGGGACCCCCAGGCCCAGCCGGGGGGCCTGCCCTGGGGCCCAATTCTGGCCTGCAGCCCTGGGCCGTGCGCCCACAAGGGGTTGGGGGCCGGGGTTTGGCCCTCACATAACCGGCTCGACGACCAGCACCTTGCACTCGCGCTTGGCGATCTTGTCCAGCGACAGCACGGCCTTGTCGGGGGGCAAGTAGAGCGGGCGCCCCACGGGCGAGCCCACGGCCGGGGGGCCTGCCCTGGGGCCCAATTCTGGCCTGCAGCCCTGGGCCGTGCGCCCACAAGGGGTTGGGGGCCGGGGTTTGGCCCTCACATAACCGGCTCGACGACCAGCACCTTGCACTCGCGCTTGGCGATCTTGTCCAGCGACAGCACGGCCTTGTCGGGGGGCAAGTAGAGCGGGCGCCCCACGGGCGAGCCCACGGGCGGCGTGATGGCGCGGCGCTCCATGACGCTGCCCGACCTGGGGAAAGAGGGGTTAGTCACACTCCTGTGTGTCCCCCCCCCTTGCCACTGTCCCCCTGTGGCCTTCCCATCGGACCCCACCCTCAGCTTCAGCCTGCCCACGGCCTTCCCATAATCCCCTCCTGGATCCCCCAGTACTGGGGATACTCCCAGCCCCCACTCCAAGGGGACAGCTGATGCTGTGATTGGCAAGTGGAAGGGGAGAAGCCAGGCTGGCCCCACTTCCCAGACCCCGCCCCCTCACCAGGACTCCACCCTCTACCCCCACTGCTCCCCCCAGCCTCATAGACACAGATTGGCAGGGGGGATGGGAGGGGCCAGGCTCTGCCCCCCGGGTATGATTGGCAGGTGGGATGGGAGGGACCAGGCTGAGCCCCACCCCATGACATAA